ATAAAGCTTGTACGGTAGTATGTATAGCCTCCCTTATCCGTTCTCCATATAATGTCTTTAAATTCAGAATGATCAAGAGGAGCATTAGAGTCATGTCTTCTTGCGAGTCCTATATTAAGCGCACTAGAACCATCGGGGTTATTTACCTCGTACGTTCCACTTTTAGTGTCTGCTACAGAGATTACATATGAACCTATCCATTTAGATGTTAATACAGTAGCATCGGAATTACGTTGATGGATGTTAACTCTGTCACCGACCTGATACTCTGCTATCTTCTTGGTAGTGTTCCAACGCTTTTTCCCTTTTAATAAGGCTATATTGCGTATTTCTCGCAAGCAAGGATATACAACGTTATAATTATGTTTGTACCTTCTCTAACCATGGTATCTCATGGTGATCAGGTTCGTCCTTGTTAAACGGGGTTTGTAACTCACTATATCTGCCACGAAAATAGTGAACGGGTGTAGTTCCTGTAATCAGATCAGCACACTCGTTCATCTGTGTTTGTACCCACTTAAGATGGTACGGCCAATCATCTGCATCATCCGTTAATGCAGTACACAAGAAGAACTTAAGTCTTCTATGGCGCGTTTCATTCGCGCCTTGCGTTTGCGGCTTATATGGCACACCTCTCTTATGGCATATGCCTGATACGAGTACTAGCAATTTCATTACATCATCGCAGAACTCACTACCGTTATCAGTGCACATAATACCTGGGCACCCGTGGTCAGCAAAGACTTGGCAACATAATTCTGCCACGGTCTGCATATTCTTATCCTTTAATGGATAGAGCAAGTTAAACCGTGGCGCCACATCAAAGAAGTGGCATACGTAACGGTCGCCTATGTGCTCGGACGTGGGCAGGTCAACCAGATCAATAATGACCCTGCGCCATGGAACATCTTCAGTCACACTCTTAAGCAGGGCAAACCCAAAGCGCTTGATCTGATTGAGATCACAGTCTGTACATGACTGATATACTCTGTCAACTAAAGCTGCCAGCTTAAGGTGCGCGATCCCATTTTGCTTAGCATCTTCAAGTGTGTCTACTACGTTCTGGTGCTTCAGCTTATGGTTTTGCGTCAGCCAAGCAAAAATGTTTTCATCATTCTGCTCCTCCAGAATAAAGGTAGGGTGTTGAGAATCCACTTGTGTGGTCTCTAAGTCTGTGGTGTTTTCAGACTCCTATCCTGCTTTCGCATGAGTGTCATAAGTGCGCTCATGTGCGTTAGATACACCTGACTTATTAAATAGTCGCATTATACATGTATACGCTTCTGAATTGTCTTTTATTAATCCCTTTAGAAATAGGGTTTGAAAGATCTCGGGCTTGGACTTTATGTTAATAAACAGAGTCCTAGCTAGAGACTGACGCTTCTTAACAGTAGTGTCATTAGTAGATTGTATTTCTTGTGCACAGACTTCAAATGCTGTGCTGCCTTTGAACTGCTTAACGCTCAATTGGGTAGAGAGTGGAATCTCTGATTCTTTGACCTTGTTAAGGAAGGTCTCAGAAGGGGTTCATTTGGTTGTTCCAATGGGACCTATACGATATATTATAGTATGTTTCCAGGGCGTCTTCTGGACGGCTCGGGTACCCTGATATAGGAAAGTATCTACTTCCCTATTTTTATATATTGGCTCGCATTGTATCATGCTTATTAATTTATTGAGCCATCGATCGTTACTCTGTAATGGGCAACACAACGCGATGGTAGTTTTATGTATATGAACATAATTTAATAGCTGGGCAATTAACTGCCATGGTGGCTTTATGTATATGAACATAATTTAATAGCTGGGCAATTAACTGCCATGGTGGATTAGCCCACGCATTATGTTTGGAGAGGTCTATTTGGAAGGCGTCTCCCAAAGGATGATTTAAAGTCCTGTAATTTGATAGTTGTGCATTATGATGTGCAGCAAACATATCTACAGTATGTGACCCAAATATCTTTTGAGCCAGTTCAAACCACCTGGGGTTACATTTCCAGTCAGTGGCTAGTAACTCACGTACGGATTTACTAAAGTCCGGTACGAAGCGTGATAACATATCCGGTAAATGGTTATGTATTCCTGACAGATGTTTTATATCAAAATGAAACTTTGATATTGTATCATGCCAGCGACTCAGTAATTGTGAGTCGGGTTTTATCTCTTTCATATATTGAAGGAATTTCTGATCACACATCAGCGGAAATGCTGTTCCGTATAAGTAATCTCGGAAGTGTGTTAGAGCTGCCACTATGGCTAATAGCTCTTGTTTAACAGTTGGGTAATTCAACTGTGAAGCATTCATTGCTCGACTAAAGAATTGTATACATCTAGGTTTGTTATCTATAACCTGATATAATACTCCTCCTAAGGCTAAGTCGGAGGCGTCCGTTGCAATTTCAAACGACACGCCATCGAACAGAGGCTTGCTGGACTGCATGTTTGAGCGCTTTAAATGAGTCATCACACTCTTTAGTCCACAAGTCTCCTAGTTTGCCTTTATGACATCTTAAGTGTCCAAAAGGTTTAAGGTAGTCAGCTAAGTGTGGTAATCCATCTGAAAAGAAGTTTACAAACCCACACATGTTGTTAACATCTCTTCCTGTAATTGATGTTCGCCAATCTAACAGGTGTTCTACCTTACCGGGGTCGATTTTAATACCTTCCCCAGATATTCGGTAGCCTAAGAGCTGTATTTCGCTCATGGCGAAGTGGCATTTTTTCTCCGTCTGACTAGTGCGGTGTGTTCGCCCTTAGTTAGTATGTTGTGATTCTTGTTTTCCTTGTGACTTGTTGTTTAGTATTTCTAGCCGGTTTCAATAGGGAAAGTATTTGTTTATGCTGCACTTGCTGTTTAGTATTTCTACCCAGTTTCAATAAGGAAAGTACTTGTTTATGCTGCACTGGTTAATTAGTATTTCTACCGAGTTTTAATGGTGAAAGCATGTGTTTATGCTGCACCCCACGCTTGGGCAACAATTGACGATCCTTGTGCATATTGCACTGGTTTCTTCTTTTGTCTTCGGGTTTGTCTCGTATCGAAAGGTTTCATTGGGAAAGGCTTATATGGTAGTGAAATGAGAGGTTATTATGGTAGAGTTTTGTCTCCGGGCCAGCCAAAATATAGTAGGAAGTACAATGGACATATGGCATTTTATTTTTGTCTTCAAGGATATAAATAAATACACCAGTTGGTAGTTTGGTACATAAATACGTGGATGCGGATTGAGGTGCAATGATTTTAGTGTGACAGACTTGAAACTTGACAGGCTTGAAAGCCTCAAAATCTCACAGAACTTTTTGGCGCCATAGTGAGAACTAGCGTTCGGTTATCTGTATTTATTTACGACGCTATTCAGTAAAAAAAATACCAGAAGACTATGGTTTTCAACGTTTACCGAAGAATGTTGAATATTTTCGTTCCCCAGTGTAAACGTAAATATAGTATTTATGTATTTTCAGGTCCCTTGCGTTTATTTATTTATTTTGGTTTTTTAACGGTTAAAAAGAAAATACCGCCAGACTTGATGAGAGTTGAGACTGAGACTCCGAGTCTGACTGAGACTCCGAGTCTGACTGAGAGTCTGTGACTCTGGTTCTCAACTTTTCAGTTCTCGCGTTCATCAGTGTATTTATTTCCATAGCCAACTTTTTTCAGTTGGCTACTCAAGAGTCTCATTAGACTCTCCGTTCATGAGGGGGTTTTTTTGGGTTGTTTTAGTTTTGTAAAAAAAAAAAAACACACCCAAGTGAAACCAAAAGAAATATTACACGACATTTCCAATTCCAAAATATCTAGAAATAGTTTGAAACAAATATTTAATGTCCAGTTTTGTATTGCGTTTATTACGGATATCATGTCAATCTGGCTGTTGACTAAATAAAAATATTTAGTTAACGACAATAATAATTTATACCAGTTTCAATCGTATTGTTTTTTGATTCTGAGGCCATGTGCAACCAACAGTAGATAGGGCAATACAAGAGGTGCAAAGCTACACGTTTGAGATATTTACGAGCTATATACAAATACACTTGGCGTTGTATTACAGTCTCCCTTTTCCCAAGGTTTATCCAGCCATGGTGAGTAAGCGTGGCGAAATTGACTGATATGCTAATACACCTACCATCCTGCTTGCACACAACGTCACGATCTGAGGCAACCGTTCGTAGTGTAGCCGACTACCGAGGCCGTTTAAGCATGCCGAGCTAATTCATTTGGACTATTGCACTTAAGCTCAATCCCTCGTAGTGAATACATGCCTTAACTTTAGACCTACGGATGTAAAACAGCATACTTATTCTTCGCAAAACACATTTAGATAGGCTGCATCTCAATTCAGAAAACATACGCAACGATTGCCAGAAGCATTTCAAGCAGCAAAACATAAGTAGGTTCGGCTACAATACTTGTGCAATGCAAACACTCACATGAAGCTCACGAAAGACACTGAAATGGAGAAAGTTGAGAGTTCATCCTCTGCTCAAGAATTAGAAAATATGGCTGTGCTGCGATGTGTAAATAGCGGAAGAATAGCAATATAGTGCATGGATCACATCGTATTTCAAATCAGATACTAATGTTATATGTATTCAAGCGGTAGAGGTGGTCAGTTGCGTCAGAATACCCAGTAGTATGTAATTTGTATGGCAATATACCTGGAACACACGGCATAAACGGCGCAATCGTAGGCTGGTTAATATTGGAAGTACCGCTTCTCTCAGTTTGTCGTGCAAATCTCTACCATCGGGATCCCAGCAATATAGCACTGTATGGTGTCGTCTCCAACGAAAATATCATTAATTGTAGATCGGTCAGAGATTTGGTTCCTTTGCATGTTAGTATCAGCGACTTACATGCGCATGTATTCTTCGTAAATTACAGACTCAGAAGCGTAGAAACAACGGACGATCCAAGCACGGACGTGGCCACGTTAAGCCCGTCCGTTGCGATAACTGTGGACGATGCGTTCCCAAGGACAAGGCTATCAAGCGTAACCTAGTCCGTAACATGGTAGAGGCCGCTGCCATCCGTGATCTTCAGGAGGCTTCTGTCTACGACAGTATGTTTATGTGTGGATTCAAATTTTGTTTAATTATGTAGGGTTTGTCAGCGTTTTCAAAGTTCCTGATAATAGAACTTAAATCACAGTGGTTAATATACGTGCGAAATACGCGCAACAAAGGTACACTCTACCAACATGTGTATTGTGTGATAGTCGCAGCATGGTATATTATATATATATATATATAATTATACATATACATATACATATACATACATACATA